GAAGCGCTAATCCCACTCCTCCTTCTATTGAGCAACCACCTAAGCTTGACTTGAAACTTTTACCATCACATTTGAGGTATGCATTCTTGCGAGATGATAATACCTTGCCAATTATTATCTCAAACAAATTGTCGAATAAGCAGGAACAAAAAGTGTTAAATGTGGTAAGGCATAGGATTAAGGCTTTAGGTTGGCAAATTTCTGACATAAAGGGTATTAGCCCTTTTATTGTGATGCACAGGATTCACATGGAGGATGGATTTCATGCCACAACTGAGAGGCAAAGAAGATTGAACCCGCACATGAAGGAAGTGGTGAAGAAAAAGATTGTTATGCTTCTTGATGCAGGTATTTTCTATGCTATTTCTGATAGTTCTTGGGTTAGTCCTATTCAGTGTGTACCCAAGAAAAGTGGTATGACTATTGTGGAGAACGAAGATGGTGAGTTTATTTCTAAGCGGGTAGTTAATGGATGGCGTGTGTGTATTGACTACCGTAAGTTGAATGCTGCAACAAGGAAGGATCATTTTCCTCTTCCTTTTATTAACTAGATGTTGGAAAGAATTGCAGGTCATGGCTATTATTGCTTTCTGGATGGCTATTCTGGATATAATCAGGTTTTTATTTTTCTAAACGATCAAGAGAAAATTACTTTTACATGCCCATATGGCACTTTTGCTTATAGGCGAATGCCTTTTGGGTTGTGTAATGCACCAGCTACCTTTCAGAGGTGTATGATGGCTATTTTCTCTGACATGATTGAAGACATAGTGGAGGTATTCATGGATGACTTTTCTGTTTCTGGTGATTCATTTGATCTGTGTTTGGCTAATCTTGACAGGGTTCTTAAAAGATGTGAGGAGACTAACCTTGTTCTAAACTGGGAGAAGTGCCACTTTATGGTGGAGGAAGGCATAGTTTTGCGCCACAAAAATTCTAGCAAAGGTATTGAGGTTGACAGAGCTAAAATAGAGATCATTGAAAAGTTGCCACCTCCTACATCGGTAAAGGGAGTAAGAGGTTTTCTTGGCCATGCTGGCTTTTATAGGTGATTTATTAAGGATTTCTCATCTATTGCTAAACCTCTTACTAATTTGCTGATTAAAGATGTCCCTTTTGAGTTTGATGATGCATGTTTAAGTGGTTTTCACAGGTTAAAATCAGCTTTAGTATCTGCACCAATCATCTCACCACCAGACTGGTCTTTGCCTTTTGAGATTATGTGTGATGCCAGTGATCAAGTTGTTGGAGCTGTGTTATGGCAAAGGAAGGATAAGAAGATGCGTGTTGTGTACTACGCAAGCAGAACTTTGGCGGATGCCCAGCTCAATTACACAACAACTGAGAAGGAGATGTTAGCAGTGGTGCTTGCAGTAGACAAATTTAGATCATATCTACTTGGCTCTAAGGTAATAATTTATACTGACCATTCTACTCTCAGGTACCTTTTTGCCAAGAAGGATGCAAAGCCACGACTCATTCGCTGGATTTTACTCCAAGAATTTGATATTGAGATCAGATATAAGAAAGGATCAGAGAATGTAGTAGCTGATCATTTGTCTAGGTTGGAGGGTGTTGAGAAGAGAGATGATGAGCCTGAGATGAATGAGAACTTCCCAGATGAACACCTTCTAGCTATTCAACATTTGAGTGCACCCTGGTATGCAGATTTGGCAAATTATTTAGCTTGTGATATTTTGCCACCAGATTTTTCTTATCAGTAGAAAAAGCGGTTTTTGTCGGAAGTTAAGCATTACTTATGGTAGGATCCTTACCTTTACAAGATTTGTGGTGATAGTATCATTAGGAGATGTGTGCCTGAGGAGGAGATGCTTGACATTCTTACTCATTGCCATGACTCAGCATATGGTGGTCATTTTGGTGCAACAAAGACAACTGCTAAGGTTCTAGAGAGTGGTTTTTTCTGGCCTACATTATTTCAAGACTCTAGAGGGTTTGTTGCTAGATGTGATCGCTGCTAGTGAGTAGGAAATATCTCCAAGATAAATGAGATGCCATTTGAAAGGATGGTAGGATCCATCGTATGGGCGCCAAAAGGGTTGCAGAATGGGTGGGTGAATTTCAAAAATTTCTTACCTTTCTTCCAACTGGGAATCATATTCCCTAAATTTAGAATCAAGATTSAAGKATCTACTCGAACCAAACCAAACTAGATTTGAACCAAAAGAGAAGGGAGGGATTATACCTGATCCGGAGAAGCAGTATCTCCCAACGTTGGTGTTCACGCCCAAA